ATTCTTGCCTCCAAGTTACTCAAGTTAAAAGGAAAACAAAACAAAACAAAACAACAAAACACCCAAAACAAACAAACAAGCCAACAACAACAACAAAACCCTATGTTTTAGAAAAATATATGATTATATAAAGTTTGTTTCCTACTCCCACTTTGGTTGTCTGTGTAGGGAATTGTGCTGCCAAGCAAAGATGGCAAGTTCAAACCCATAAATCTATTACCTGCTCCACAGGAGAAAGACGGAAACTTTTTTCTCATGTGATTTGCTACCTCCGAAAACCCACTGGAGGGTCAACCATGAGTTGGTTCCAAGTAGCTGGCAATAGATGAGTGAATAAACTGAGAACGGGAACAAAATGTCCACCGCAGCCCATCTCTTGCAATATGATCACTTCTCTCTGGCTCAATTTGCTTAATAATTGGTTTCGACTGAGGAAAGGAAATGTGAAATGAATGTGCAAATCTATCTTGAATCTGTCCAAGCGTGGAATACATGGGATATTTTTTAATGGAAGAAAGGCTTTATGGTCTCATGATGGTAAAGCACAATTAAATTGAAAGGCATCACATCCTAGATGCATCGATGTAAATGGTCCTTTATCCTATAAAATGTCCTTTTAAAAAGCATTTGACAAATAGCATTTTATCCTGTTTTCACTTTTGAGGAGTGCATATGCTCTGAAAGGTCTTATTTTCACTTTTATCTTGTAATTTATCTGTTAAATGTTTACTGAGCAGATACCTGCAGCATTTGTGGTATTAGGCTCACAATTAGTCTGAAAAAGAACAAAGATAAAATAAGTGTGTTTTTTTTTTAATTTGGATATTTATGCTAAAATCAAGTTTTGCAAACATTTTCACTTTAGTAAGTACCTCACTAAAGGCCTGTGGAAAACGTGAAATAACTATTTTGCAATTGGCATAGCCTTGTTTATTTTAAAAAGGTAAAAACTCCCTAAGTAAAATATATATTGATACTTCAGCTGAGTATTTTCTATAGATTTTTCTTTTACTTTCCCAGAGAAGAGAATCCTCAATTGGCCACCATAACTCAATTATATGCTACAGATTGTTTTAACTCCAAAGGGTACAAAGTACATCGTTCAGACCCTCAGAATCCCAACACGTTTGGTTTCCTCCACCAAGGAGCCTGGAGCTTTGCCGATGGGCATGGAGCCAACACAAACTGCTTAGGTCTAAACACTGCTCAAGTACTCCGTATCTTGACACTTACTAGCTACTGTGTTTTAGCACTGGTATGGTTTACATAAATTTGAAAGGTGAGTGACTATAAAAACATAAATTCTTACCTTTACACACATCCATAATTCCATGATGAATTGTGCATTTTATTAAGAGTTAAAGACATATCACTTATGAAGAAAATATCAAGTACACGCCTTTAATTTTGCATTCCAGTAATTGAAAGAGATTGTTATTGAAAAGAAAGAAAATGACTATATTACATGATCACTTATTACATATTGGCATATTTCAAGCATGGATTATGACCAAGAAAAGTAGCATATTTGTTTCAAATAGTCACAAAATGAAGATATGCTATCAGAATTTATTTAAAGCAATGATCTAATACACTCAATTCAGATAAATGGTCTTTTTCTTCCAATCCCTGAAGGCAGAGAGCTGTATAAGAATAAACTTCCTTTAAAGTCTGAATAGCTTTTAACTATTCAACAAAAATGGGGACATATTTGAAAAAATGCTTTTTAAACTGTGTATAAAATATTTTTCTCTTAAAGAAAAACTGCCAAGTAAGTAAATTGAGATTTCTTTCTCCTTTGGCCTTTTTCACAAAAAGTTTCACCCCTTGCCATGAAATTTACTGATAATGAAGATTTTTTTTTCTTTATGCTATTGATAGGTTCCTTTGAGAGTATGAGCACATTTAAAATACATTTCTGAAGGGAAAAAAAAACCCAACTGTAGGTGTTCCAGTCATTATGGCATCTTAGAACCATGCTATGTCACTGACAACAAAGATTCACTAAAGTAATTACAAAATATGCACCAAAAAAAATATCTGGAGCTTCTACAACACCAAAAGTTGTCCACGAAACAAACTGAGGACCTATTGAAAAGAGAGAAGGAGCTCCGAGGGGAAACAGAAGTTTCTGAATAGGTTCTGATCTTCCTGCTGGCAGAACACAGTAAGAGCGTTTTGAAAAGCCCCATGGAACAACACAACTCAGGATGAGGAACCCAGGAAACCAACCACAAAGAAAGTACGGCTGGTGGCAGCAATTCTTTCCACAGATGTAATCAATCTGATTCATGTATAGGCCTTCAGGTGAAGTCTATATGCGTAGTTGGCATTTATCTTTCTTATGAAAGGTATTGGCAATGAATAAATCATTGATTGTATACAATTCTGTCATTCTATATCCAACTTCATTTCTGTGATCAAGTCCATGTTTTCTGACAATTGATCCCCCTTCCCTGTTTCCAACATTTGCATTCCAGTCAACCATTATTATTAATGCATCTTAGTTGCATATTCTATTGATTTCTGACTGCAAAAGTTGGTAGAGATAATCTATTTCCTCCTCTTGGACTCTTGCTGTTGATACATATATTTGAATAACATTAACAGGTGGTGGTGGCATCAACAGGTTTTCCTTTTATGCATATGGATATTATCTTATCACTCACAACACTGTATTTCAAGATCCATCTAAAAATGGTCTTAAAAAAACAACTATTTTATTGTTTTTAATATAATAATTCCTTTACATTATGTTTCATTCATATATATTGTATTTTATATAATCTTTCACTGATAAACAGTATTTTAATTATAAATGTGATTCCATTTTTCTTCACCTTTTTGTTAGCAATGTAGAAGATTTTATGATTGTCTGACTCAAAATATCCCATAATGAAACTCATTTCACCAATGCCTGATATGTCAATATTTGTGTGATCCATTTATTTGTTAACAATGTCCAATTTTCCTACATTCATACTTCTCACATTCCATGTTCCAATCACTGGTGTCTATTTATAACTGTTCCTCCTCCTTTGTGATTCCCAATATGAGGACTCAGCCTCTGGGGCCATATCTGCTAGTCTATGTGTGCTTTATTATTGCACATAGGGTTTTTGAAAGCCTGAAGGATTTGCTGAAGAAGGTCAAGGACTATAGTCCTCAATAGGGTTTGAATTTCAACATCAAGAAAACAGATGATCACCACTGAGTCAACTGACAAGCATCATGATGGATGGAGAAGAGATTGAATTTGTTAACAATTTCTGCTAGTTCAGGTTCAAGATCAACGTGCGAGGCACCATCACTCAGGAAATAAAAAAGATTAATTATATTAGGAAAATCAGCTGTCAGGGACATCTCCAGAGTGTTACAGAGCAATTATTTTAAAGTACAGACTAAGATGCACCTGATCCAGGCCATGGTCCTCACAATTACTTACTACACACTCATAGAGCTGGACAATGACTAAGGATGATAGAAGAAGAATCAATGCCTTTATGTTGTAGTGCTAGAGAAGAATACTGAACATACCATAGATTGCCATAAGAATAAACAAGCTTGTCCTGGAGAAGGTGAAACCAATTTTTTTCCTTGCTGGCAAGGATTTTGAAGCTCTGTCATATGTACTTTTGGTATCTTGCAAAAATGGACCCATCCTTGGAGAAGGACATCATGCTTAGAGAAGTAGAGGGACAACACAGATGAGGAAGACCTTGGATGAGAGGGATTGACAAAGTAAATGGAGTTGGGTAGCAGGTGTGTCGGAGAAGGCTCATGATAGGGCAGAGATCAGAAATATTATACATACGGTCACTATGAGTGGCAGGCAACTTGAGAACATATAACAAAACCAATAACAAAGAGGAGAAACAGAAGGAGAGGTGAAAGCTCCAACCACTGCAGTGAGGCAAGAAGGGAAGGGTTAGGGATCCTTGAGGGACTGTTAATTAGTGAAGCCATTGGCCATTTCTGTGAGAGTCATCTAGCAAAGCTAACTCACAAAAGAGCAACTGGGGCCCTCTGTCTAGGACCAGCACTGTGCAAAGTGTCATCCTGTGTGCCAACTGCATTAATGTGTGCCCTGAGGGGGCAGGCAGACATAGTCAAGGCTCACAAGCCTAGTTGAGTTTGCCACCTCTCCTAGAAGCACCAGAGACTTGCACAAATGGTTACCTCCCTGGCCTCACCCACCATTCTTCCCTGTGGTGCAGTAACTCCATATCCATTCCTTCTACCCCTAAATTACTTTGCCTGCCCTTTAATTATGAGAATTCAGGAACCCCTCTTTCCGCTGCTGTCATTTTGCCCACCAAGTAATAGTGCATGCTCTCCTAGCACCTGTGACCACGGTGCAATAACCCGTGTATCTCTGCTTTAACCACCCAGCAATCTGAGATGGAAACATACACATACACAGAACTCTTACCATTGACTAGCAAGAACACTTCTTGCATCCGTACTTCAGTAAATCACCTCACATGATGCTAATCACATCCTAAAAGGTGCAAAATGCATCTTTGCCAAACCACAAGCAAGAAGGCAGTAAGGCAATGGAGATATGTAAAACATTAAAAAAAAATGCTCACTAGGAATCATAGATCTAGAAAAACTGCCTTTCAAATCTGGAACCAAAATGTTTCTAGATAAACAAAAGTTAAAGAGAATTTGCTAAAACTAGATTTATCTTCTAAGCAATTATAAGTTTAAAACATTAATTTTATAATTTGTATTAATAAAAAAAACAACTAATGAAACACACTGATACTGATACTTTTCTAATATTTCCAGGTTGTGTCAAGAATTTAGCATAGTACTTATTCATTCTTGGGGAGATTGAAACATGCCCATTAGTTACAAAATATTCAAAACTCAATGTTGTTTTCTGACATGTAATTGACCTGCTGCAGGTGATATTCATTCACTTTTTAAAATAAAATATATAGAGAACAGATATAAATAAATAAAAGTAACCAACTATCTATCAGTAATCTGACCTTCTTGAAATTTTTGTTTAAATCAATCAGGCTGAGCAGGAAGATGTGGTCCTTGGCTCCCAGAATCAGCTTGCCTCTCTCTTCATCTAACAGCAGAGTTTGGAAATCCAGCCCTTCTGCTGACCCCAAAAAGGGAATACAGCTATTTGAAAGCAGCAAGTCTAGGAGATACAGGAAGAAAGGAAAAACAATAATAAGATAATTATTTACTTGCTCCAATAAACATCTTGTCTCGTTTTGTAAATAAGTGTAAACAGCATGGGAATTCCAGTTTAGAGATATGTCAACAATATACAGTTCTTAGTACATAGTCACTTTGAAATGGATGCAATTTGTTTGCATGTTATTGACAAAAATATTACCTTTACATGTGAAAAAGGGCATATTTTTTAAAATATAACATGAGGCTATACAAAATTCAGAGCAAAATACTTCACGACTCTGTTATAATTTGGTAATTATTTATAGCTTCTACTTAGAGTTATTTGCAAACTAGCAATATTAATCATTACTTCCCAAATAAACATCAAATTAATTGTATGACTAATATCAAAGCTTTTCTTTCCCTCTCATTTTTGATGCTTGTGCTTGTTCCTATTACACACATTCAAGCTAAAGAAGTATTCTTGTTGTTGTTGTTGTTGTTATGTGCCGTCGAGTCATTTTCGGCTCATAGCGACCCTATGCACAACAGCCCTAAACCCTGCTCTATCCTGCGCCAACCACACCGCCTCCGACACACCCATCCCGATTACCCCAGTCACCGAATCAATCCATCTCATAGAGGGTCTTCCCCTCCTGCGCTGTCCCTCCACCCTCCCAAGCATGATGTCCCTCTCCAAGGACCTATCCCTCCTGGAAACATGTCCAAAGTATGTCAGACGAAGGCCCAGAATCCTTGCCTCCAAGGAGCAGCCTGGTTTAATCCTCGCAGGATGAATCTGTTTGTTTTCCTGGCAGTCCATGGTACATTCAGTACTCTTCTCCAGCACCACAGCTCAAAAGCATCCACTCTCCTTCTGTCCTCCCTAGTCATTGTCCAACTCTCTGAGGCATAACAAGCAATTGCAGATACCATGGCCTGTATCAGGCGCACCTTAGTCTCCAGAGAGACACCATTGTTCCTAAGTAGAGAGGTCCCTAACAGCAGACTTTCCCATCGCGATACGCTTTTTGATTTCCTGACTGCTGGTGCCAAGAGTGTTGACTGTGGAGCCGAGCAAACTGAAGCTGTGAACAATCTCAATCTCTTCGCCATCTGTCCTGATGCTGCCAATTGGTCCAGTGGTGAGAATCTTTGTCTCCTTGACATTGAGCCTCAGTTCATACTGAAGGCTGCAGTCCCTGACCCTTCGCAGCAAATAATTTCTAAGAAACAGACGGCAAGATACTTGATACATGATTTTTAAGAAAATAACATCTTGAACCTCTGTAAGATTGATATTTGAATGTCTTTCATTTATGGTTATTTGTGTTTTGTTTTTTAAATTTTATTATATTTTGTGTGTGTACTGTCAAATCAGGTCTGACTGGTACAGGAGGAGATTGTCCCTCCTTCTCCAGCAGAGCATCTGGTGGATTCAAACTGCGCACCTCTGGGATTGCAGTGCAGCTTCTTGGAATGTCTTTCATTTAAGGGCTATATATTCTAATTATCAACAGCTAGCTTTATTATTCCATATTTTTAGCATTTCTTTCTTTTTCCAATTTCCAATGGTTAAACATTATACTCTTTTCTTTAGTCACTAAGCTAGATTTTTTTTCTTGTTATTGTATGCCGTCAAATCACAATCAACCCATAGCTGACCCTCCAGTGAACTTTTAGAGGCAGTTAATTGCACAGGAGATTGCCTACTCTGCTCCTGCAGGATGGCTGGTGTCTTCAAACTGTGTACATTCACGATTGCAGTGCAGCTTCTTACCACTAGGCCTCCAGAGCTTCCCTAGCCTTTTATCTTCGTTTCAACAAGTTAGAGGCAATATGCAGAAAAAATAGACTGTTCAAATTCTCATGTGATACTACTGATATTAATGGATCATATTCTGTGTATACTGGATCAAGTCTGAACTCTATACTAATCATTTTTCTATTATGTTAGTTATAATTATAATATTTTTTCAGATCAGAGACATAGTCATAATATTACTTAGTAGCTCCAAAAGCAGTGAGCCCATTTTTAAAGGGCTTTATCATTTTTCAACATTATCGTCCACATACATTCCATGATGACCTTGATCCTAAAGTGCAAGTGAGGAGTATTGAACCATAAGAATGTATAAAAGAGATAAGATCTCAACTTTTGACAAAAGCATACATTTTACACAATCTCTCCTTCAATCAGGCAAGTCTTTACATTCCTTGGGATTTCCCCTTACTTAACAAATAAGATTGAAATAGGCAAGATAGAAAGTATATAAGGGAGTTCCAAAGAGTAATTCTTGCTCCAACAATTATAGGAAAAGAGTTTCTTTACTGGTAAGAATTTTTGCCAATTCAAAGACAAACAGTTTGGGTCCACCAGCTGCCCAATGGGTAAAAGATGGGCCGTCTTCTCCCATGACGTTTTTTGCTGCTATGGAATACCTTCGTGTTACAGCCCATCCATAGTCGACCCTCTGAAGGTATTTCAGAGGCAATAAATCTCACGAAGAGGCTGGAAGGGAGATTGCCTTCCCCTTGGAAACGCTGGTGTATTCAAACCTCATGCTTTCCAATTGCAGTGCAGCTTAACACTTCCTCTGAAAACTCACTTAGAGGGTCAGCTCTGAGTTGGTTCCACTTCCACCTTATAAAAACAGCAACAATAATTTATATACTGTAAAGAATTATTCTTTCAAATGCGCATAGATAATAGTCACTAATTTTGGACCATGTACTGCAGTGTTAATTATGAGATAAAACATGGTCCAGTATAATGAATATTATTTTTGGTTCCAGATCCCTTTGGCTATAATCTAGCCTCATAAGTCACTGACTGTGTGGTCTGGAAAAGTCTTTCAACTGCTCTGTGCCTTGGTTTTCTATTCTACAAAGTGAGAATAATAATAGAAAATACATGACAAGCCACGTTGTGAGCTTTAAATGAGTTTGATATCTAAAAATATTAGAACAGTAAACAGAACAGCACTATTCTATTTAATTTAGTTATTATTTGCTGGAGGAGAGTATTGAATATACCATAGACTGCTAGGAGATCAAACAGGTTTTTCCTAGAGAGGGTAAGATCAGGTTGCTCCGTGGAGACAATGATTCTGAAGTTTCATCTGATATATTTTGGGCATGTTGCAAGAGGAGACCAGTCTTTGGAGAAGGACCTCATACTTGGGAGGGTGGAGGGACAGCACAGGAGAGGAAGACCCTTGATGGGATGGATTGATTCAGTGACTGGGTAATGGGTGGGGTAGGTGTGTCAGAGAAAATAAGATTGGCACAGGATAGAGCAGGGTTTAGGGATGTTGTACATAGGGTTGCTGAGTCATAGGTGACTCGACAACACATAACAACAACAACATTATAATTACTGCATTTTTTGAATTCTGTAAAAATTCCATTGGAATTATGTTTTCCAACTCTGTATAATTCTAATAAATACAGGAGGTGATTTGTTTAAGTCGTTAGAATATTCAGGGTAATTAAAAAATCAATACACATTAACTGCATTTTCAATAATATACATCAATTAGGTCAAATAATTCTATTTAAAAATATTATTACAGCTTGCATCAAACAGAATTATGACAACCAGGACATGTTTTTATTAAATAATACAGATAAAGATACACACACACCCCCCCTCCCCAAAATCCCCACTACCATTGGGTCAAGTCTGACTCATAGTATTTAGACCCTGTAGGAGCTTTAGTGGCCTACTAGCAAGAAGTTGCGCTGTAATTCTAAAGGTACACTGTTCAAATCCATCAGCTGCTCCTCAGGAGAAGGATGGACAATCTCTTCCCATGCCATTAACTGCCTCGGAAAACATGCTGGAGGGTCAGCCATGGGTCAGTTCCGACTTGAGATTTTTGTTGTTGTTGTTAAGTGCCATCGAGTCGCAGGCAACTCATAGCGACCCTATGAAGGAGAGTCCTCGATGCTGACTTGAGATTACACAACAATAACAGTATAGAATAAAGGAACAATAGTGGCTTAGAGGTAAGGAGCTGCACTTTCAACTCAAAGGCAGTCGGTTTTAATATACCAGTGGCTCTGCTGAAGAAAGAGGGGCAATCTCCTCCCATGCTATTTACTGATTCTGAAAGCTTGCTGGAGGGTCCAGCTACATATTGATTCTGACTTGATGGTACATAACAATAACATAAAGTAACCTGGCCCCTAGAGTTTCCAAACTGTCAACCTTTATAGGAGATGGTCTATCTTTCTCCTGTGCAGCAGCTAGTGGGTTTGAACCACACATAGATCAGCTCTTTAATCACTGCACCACCAGTCTGCTTTAACACTTACACAGTGCATTTTAATATGACTATGTTTCTCCTTCATGTGTAAACTCCTTCAAGGCAAAATCTGTCTTATTTATAAATCTCCAGTACCTCACTCAGGAATTGACACAAAATAACCACTTAATACATATCTGTGGAACTGAAAATGCTCAGCATGGTTGGGACAGAGCATGTGAGAGCAGTGAGAAATGAGGCTGTGAATTAAGCCAATGTCTAGATAATCGGGACTTCAGATTGCTCTCCGGTGAATTTTATCAGTGACTTTAAGACACTAAAAATACTGCATACCGGAACATCAAAATATATCACAAGACTATATCTTAGCATTAGATAAGTCTGGCTGCAGTGTTGACTATGAATGAAAATGGGGCAGGTGGAGACAGCGAGACTGTCCAGAATTTTCTGAAAGATGGTGGGTCTTTAAAATTAGGATTCTGTACCCATAAGAGGGAAGATATTTCCGAGCTGAGCGTTTCTTTTCTTTTTTTCCTTCCTCCGCCCCGTGCGCCTTTAGTTATACAGTGAGTAAAAGAAATACAAATTTGATGTAGTCATTGGCTTTATTTTCTTTCAACACAGCCAATTCTATTTGGTTTTGTTTCAAACAGATGTGACAAGGAAAATCAGCTGCATAAATAGTTACTAACCTGAGGTTTTATCATTTCCAAATGATTTAATGTGGCTTTCTCACAATGTTAGCATC